GCATGACATTTCACAGATAACAAAAAAAAAAAAAAAAATAAACTGTAGAGTTATAATCACTTACTTTCTAAAGAGAGATAATGGCATTTAATTTGTTTCAATATTTTATACTATCTTTCAGATTAATTATAAAATATTAATAACTTTTTATAAGTTACTTCTCAAAACTTTTATAAATATCATAAATTGGTAAAAACAATATCTAGATCCTTATTGACATCTTCAAGGAAACTGATATTATTTCATTAAAAGAATTTTCTAAAGACTTGAAAGATTTGCCGATGTATTCACTTTGCCAGGCTCTTTCCGGTGAATAATCGTGTCATGCTAGTGACGATGAAATTTTGGCAACATATCTGGCGCTGAAGGAAGTGGATTCGTTCATATCTTGAGGGCATTACTATGAAGCTTACATAAAAAAAAACTTCAGTTAAAACTGCAACTTGATTTGACAATTCCGTTACACCATTCTGCACTTGCAAGTCTCAGAGGACATAATTAAAATTGTTAATGTAATTAGCAGTCTCAATTAACTGTAATAGCTGTTTTGTTTTATGAAAAAAAAAGGATGATTCTATCGCAAATAAAACGTCTGCCGTTCATATGACACCTCAACAACTAAAATATAATTTTTTGAGCTAAACAACAAATATTAGACGGACTTGGACTAAAAATAAATCACATTATATATATATATATATATATATATATATATATATATATATTTATATATATAAGGATAATTTTGTGACTGGAAGGATAATTCCAGGAAGATATAAATCCAGGAAGAGCATTATAATGATAATAAGAAGACGGAGACTTTAATTATCCATTTCGTTTATAATTTTTATTTCGTGAACACCGAGATGTTCATCTCATCAGAACGGAAACCTATACATAGATTTAAAACGCAGGAAAGCATTCTTCTTAAAGGATCCTTTTCTGTTGTGGAGTATTTTCACAGTGGGCTTGTATTTCTTGTCGTTTAGGAACTTGGAAAAATAATAGTCAATGACGCAGCAAATCTAGTTGTGATGGTTGGTACTTCAAAAATCTCAACTGTTCTCAACACCGTTCGATTTATCATTTCACCCACGAGAAAAAATATGGCACAAGGCCGGTTTTATTGACTCCAAGCCGTAGCAAAAAAAAATAGCCTGAAGCCGATTAGACGGGTTCAGGCCCTGTCTACCTCCCGGACGAAACCTTTGCCCTTCGGCAGAGCCTCGTCAACCTCTCTAACGCTGAGAGTTCGACAGAAGGCGCGCAGTCGACCGCTCAACACCGTTCGGTATTTATCATTTCACCCACGAGAAAACGAATATGGCACAAGGCCGGTTTTATTGTGGGTTTCTCCGAGCCCGTAGGCTCGGCCAAAAAATAGCCTTTTGAAGCCGATTAGACGGGTTCAGGCCCTGTCTACCTCCCCGGACGAAACATTGCCCTTCGGCAAAGCCTCGTCCGGGTTCCTCTCTGCTAATGCAGAGAGTTCGACAGAAGGCGTGCGCAGTCAGAGACCGCTCAACACCGACTTGCCACTGCTACTCCTACTTATTATCTATGGGAGAGTCCATTACCAAAGAATAGGTACTATGGCACAACATTTTCAAACAACCATTCATCAGAAGAATTCGTTGAAAAAATGAACCACGGTTAAAATATAAATTTATTAATAAAAACTTATTAATAAAATGAAGGCGAAAACGAAATATACTAGCAAAAGAGGTTCCTAGTGAGTATAAAATGGAAAAAACCCACTCACATAGCTCCTAAAAGAGAGAGAGAGAGAGAGAGAGAGAGAGAGAGAAAATGATCTCTCTGTCTGCACAGAGAGCAAGAAATAAAGAACATATAAGGGAGAAGGGAGTTATAGAGATATAGAGAGGTAAAGAGACAGAAGTGGTTATGGTGGAATCGGTCTAGATAAAAACGACGGTTGAAGATGAACGCTGACCTAAATTTAACATATCAACACATGTACAAAAAGGAAGAAGAAACATAAAAAAGAAACATAAAAAAATGAGCATAAAAATTCCAAAGATGAGTTTATCCGCCCTTCATTATTGTTCATGTAATTTTGAAAGAAACAATTTATAGAATATCTAATTCAGAAATGCAAAACCGTACTGTTTAAAAATATAGAATCGAAATATTTTTATTTCTACAGGAGTTGCTAAGATGATCTGACCGATTATTATGGACACTACAGATATCTTAATCTTAAAATTCCATGTCACTTCAGGACGTAGGCGACCATGGCTCTCTACAGATTCCTTTTCTTTCTGTTAACTGCCATACAATATTGGGAAATATAATGGAAGGATTTCTTCGTTGCCTTCTCCACGATTTGAAATTCAGATTTCTCTTTCTCTTAGACTAGGTGCTTGTCAAGGCTAGAGAAGCCAGTCTACTCTTCTATTTAAACCATAGTTAGGTGAGAGAAAAGAGCCCGATTCATGCCTTTCCCAATGGTATTTGTGCGAAAGTGAACGCAGTAGACACTCCCGGAATTTGAACTCGGCTCTCCGATTCAATTTTTGTGCCGCTGCAGGTATACAGAGTGCATTTTTTAAAAAGTCGTTATCTTTTTTTTTTTTTTAAAAAAAAACAAATCTCTTTAAAAAATAATTGTTGTGTCTTCTTTCTTTGTCCTTGGCTAAACATAGTTGATATTGTTAGGTCAACACAACACACACAAACAGTTGTATGGCGCAAATAAACCGGTCCGTAGCGAGGCACAGAGAATGATTTAAAAAAAAACTCCAATCGTATAAATTCAAATGACTTTATGGGATATAAAAGTCTCTTCAATCAGTAATATGATTAGATTAGACGAAAAATAATTGACCTATTGATATAGTTTTTTTTTTTAGTATAGAGCAGGGCTTTATAACTTATTCGAATATATAGTAGAGACTACTATTATCACCCAGGATAGCGTCCTTGTGGGTGACACATTATCTTCTTCCCTACAACCTCTTTCTCACAGACGAAACGTCGCAAGCATCTCATTGCTCTATCGCTATTTCCATGGAAAGTGCTCAGACGAACTACACTCCTTAGTTCCATCAGTTTTAACCTTGACTGCTAAAAGAAAGAGGTTGTAGTGGTTCCAACGAGAGAAAAGTATGTATATTAAAAAGAAGAGAAGAGAGGTGCCGCAAACGTTTTTGGTTGTAATGTGGTTTCTTTTTAGAAAAAATATTATGCTTTATTTTCCATAATTTTACTACACGTGTTTCTGGTCTCGCGACCGTCTTCAGGTAAAAGCGGAGCTTTCGACATATTATTAAAAATAATAACCAAAAACGTTTGCGGTACCTCTCTTCTCTTCTTTTTAAAATACACACACACACACACACACACACACACACACACATATGAAGATGAAGATGAAGAAATATAGTTTTAAGATATGCTAGGTAGACCGGTGGTTGCATAACAAGACTAAAGAACCTAGTCTGTCCTGCTATTTAACCCGTAGCGGGGGGAGAAGATATTGATTCTCTGAGCCGATATCCATTACACCACAACGCACAGCAACTTTCGTTACCGTTTAAAAATTAGCATTATTTTAGTCTACCCTGATATTTAACCCATATCTGCGGGGAGAAGAGATCCATTCACGTCTTTTCCAAGGGTATTTGTGTGAAAGTGAACGCAGAGGACTAAACCGGAATTTGAAATTTACCCAATAAAGCCTCTTTCCCTTCGTATTCCATTGGTGAGATGTAAGTTCCACTCGAGCAGCTTCTTCCCGCGAACTCACTGCTCTATGGAACGGACTCCCAAGAGGATGTTTTCCCGATCACTACAATTTTAACTTGTTCAAGTCTAGGGTTAACCTTGAATGGTTCTTGGGGCTTGTATTGGGTGAACATTAGTAAAAAAAAAAAGAAAAAAAAAAAGAGACTGTTGTCTTATTAATTATATATCATGAGCGTAATGGTAATATTTGCACCTGTTAAATGCAGTAGAAATCGCTTTCGTGTAGGGTCTTTTTTGTAACTACTAAGTGACTGATAACACTAAGCGAAGAATATAAACAGTAAACAATTTACTTTACTTATGAATTCTTTGTTATAAACAACTTTATATAATAAAAAAATTAAATTTATTCTTATTAAATTTTTTTGATGCATTTTAAATAAGGTATCAGACAGAATAATTTTGATAACATTAACCGCCTGCTAACTTTATTTTTTTTAATTTTTACTTATTTATTTATTGATATTAAGGCTCACCCTGTACAAAACCCGAGAGACACTCGAGATAGAGAGTTACGGAGTAAGAGGCACGGTTTATGCGGATATGTGTGGAAGATAGCGGTTGACACTAGACTTAAACAGTTTAAGATTTTAGTGATCGGGAAAACATTCTCTTGGGAGTCAGTTCTCTCTCTCTCTCTCTCTCTCTATATATATATATATATATATATATATATAAATGTATGTATGTATGTATGTATATGTTTGTATACTCGAACACGTGTTGAGAGTTTATCAGTCCGATCCAGAAAGCATTTAAAAAATGTCTGATTTTTTTTTTCAGATTTTGGGAAATCGCTTAGAGCAAGAATCATTCAGCACCCTTCGAATATATATATATATATATATATATATATATATATATATATATATAAATGCTGGATATACGAGATTATGCACGTTCGTGTGATTCCCACTTAGATTATAAACTATTTGTAACACCAGAGATATTTTCTTAAACCATTGGAGAAACATTACTGGACATATTTTTGTAAGCAAATCGTTATTTCTTTGAAGAAACTGTGCGGTGACCAATGTTTTCTATCCAAATGTGTTGGTGTTCTTTTCTTGTATGTACATTTTTTGGTGTGTATATGGTTTGAAGGACAAAGATAAGGCAGAGAACAGAATGATTATTGTTCATTGGAGGACACAATTGAGGAAGTAAATTGTGGATGGGGGGTAGAATCGGGTGAATGGAGGACAGAAAAATGGCGGGAAGTTGGTGGGTTGATGGAAATATACCGTGCGATTGTTTACCTTTTCTTCCTTCTTCGGCTGACGTCAACCATTCTTCCTGCCTTTCCTTGTCAATTTAGACAGAATAAAAACAATGGCCATACATTGTAAGGCCACCAACGTTAAATCAACATAAACCAAACACACTGTTTCACAAAGCTGTAGTCACGCTGTTTTCCATGGCTTTATCTTTGCCTTCCTTTTCCTTCTTTGTTTCTTTCTTTTCAGCAATATAACTTTTTTCTTTCTTTTTTCTATATATCATTGTTTCATTCCACCTATCTTTTTTTCTTCTTTTAATTCGTCTTTGTTTTATTTCTTTCTTTTTTCGCTTGATTCTTTCTTTTCAACAATCAATTCCGGCTGTTCATCTACCTTCTTTCGTTCGTGTAATTTTTATTTGACCTTCTTTATTTCTATCTATCTATCTATCTATCTATCTATCTATCTATCTATCTATCTATCTTTATTTATTTATTTATATATATATATTTGCAGTAATCAGTTTTGGCTGTCCATCGATCTTCTTTCATTCGTGTAAATTTTCTTTGACCTTTATTTTTTCTATCTATCTATCTATCTATCTATCTATCTATCTATCTATCTATCTATCTATTTTATTTATATATATATATTTGCAGTAATCAGTTTTGGCTGTCCATCGATCTTCTTTCATTCGTGTAAATTTTCTTTGACCTTTATTTTTTCTATCTATCTATCTATCTATCTATCTATCTATCTATCTATCTATCTATCGTTATTTATTTATTTGCAGCAATCAATTTTGGCTGTCCATCGATCCTTCTTTCGAAGTTGCAATTTTTCTTACTTTCTTTATTTCTTTTAATTTTTCTTTCTTTTCCCTTTGTTTGTTTGTTTCTTTCTCGGCCTAGCATCAAACCATCCACAAGAATTTGACTAGAATTCACAACACAAATGCAAGGAAAAGCGAAACTAGCTTACATGCCACCAGTCTGCGCTAAAACACTGTTCTACTCATTGTTTTGTTATGGCTTACATTCCCATTGCTTCCCTGACAGCAACTTCCGCTTCATATCTGACATCCGTATGGTGCTGGTCTTCGCGAAAAGACATTATGTTACAACATGATAATAAACACAACTACAATCCAACAATTATTATAACAAACCGCAGCCTCCCGATCATATTAATGTTGCCGAGTCGATTTAAACGTTCCCACAGCTTAAAACACTAATATTTATAATTGCTTATCGCTTATTTTGTTTAACACTGATAATAAAGAGAACGTTCTTTTTTTTTTAAACTGCTAGACCGGGTTAAACTAATGCATGGCCTGTAGCCTATGTTCTAAAAGGGTTCTTAAATTAAAAACAACATAAATTTTAATCATAAATTATTTACTAGCATCATTATAGATTTTAGAAAACAGATAAATATTTAACTTCAATGTAATAAACATACACAGAAAAATATCAGGCAAATGATTTTTATTACTGATAGTTCTCCAAGTACAAAGCTCCAGGGCCAGCCAAGATAGAGAATTATTTAGAGAGACTGTAAGGGAGGAGGAAGTAAGTAACTATTATGGGGATGAGGAGGGTAGATATCGGTTGATCCTAGACTTAAAGAGACCAAGATTGTAGTTATCAGGGAAGCATTCTCTCGGGAGTTTGTTTCACAAAGTAACAGTTCTGGGGAAGAAGCTGTCTGAGTGGAACTTGCTTTTTATCAAAAGAAGTGCATGGACATAGTTCATCACAGTAAACACGACATGGCGCGTTCTAGAACGAGATATTTGTGTACTTTTAACAGTCCCGATATAATGTTACCTGAAGTGATGAATTTTTTGTCAAGCTGTTATTGAAAGTAATGGTTTACACATCATGTACTAATGAAATATGAACGCTATTTTCATTTGAATATGATGTATCCATTATAATAGTATAATATTTTTGTTCTGAAGTTTTTGATCATCTATTTTTTTCGAATGTTATATAATTATTCTTATAACTTTATCAAAATAAGTTGAGCTTTATATTTTGGAATTATATAATTTACCTTTATATCCTTATTTTTCCTTGATAAAATGTTCTATGAAGCTTTAAAATAAAAAAGTTATTTCACATTTAGACCTTTTCTTAACATCGTTGTGATTTTTATGCTCGCTACTGTATATATATATATATATATATATATATATATATATATATATATATATATATATATATATATATATAACAATACGATGAAAAAAAAACTATCTAAACATTAATAGTAAAAATGCGTTATCTCATAGTTTGAAATAATCATTTCGCTTTCACAGGAAATCCGTTTTCATAAATATTCTTGAATTCTCGCAGGTGCAAAATGAAATACAATCATTTCCGTTTCTCTGTCTTTCTAACGTCCAAGTTTCTCTAAAATCGAATAGGGTAAGTTGTCTTCAAATGTATTTAAAACTTCAAGTAAGATGAGCCCAAAAGATATCTGTTATCCGGTGGATATCAGCGTCTCTTATCCGGAAACTATCAATTGCTAATATCCGGTGATTAAAGGGTCAATAAGTACTATATAGATAACTTGATTTTTGAGGGGATTTTTGCAATATAGTGAAGGGTTTTTGAGGGCGCGCCTCCATAGTGCATTGGTTAGAAAGCTAATTTCTTCGACCGAGTTTCTTTACGGCTTGACCTACTCCATGATTTTTTCATGCGTCAAACATTTTATTATATTATAAGATTTCATTAATATTATAATTTTCGGTCGTGTATAAAAAAATATCTGTTGCATTCTTTTTCTTGTATATATGTAAAATCGTTACGTTTTTGATCAGGGTGTAGTATCTGTCCGATGTCAGGCCTTTAAGAGCTGGAATCAGCTTCGCTTTCCGACCGAGAAACCTACATGATAATATTAAGTGGGATGGAATATTAAGCGAGAGACGGACAAGAACAGTGGGTGGGAAGAGGGTGTGGGAAAAGATGGGCGATGAAAAAGGTGAGGGAAAGGCAAAAAAAAAAAAAAAACTAACAGTAAAAGCAAATGAAAATACAAATAAGTGCTGAAAAGTTATTGGCCTGACCAGGAACGGAGTCTAAAGTAAATTCTAATTTTTTAACATTCGATTAGATTTTTGGAATCGTGTCAGATCGATAACTTTTCAGCACCCCCTCTACAGGAGGAGAGAAAGAGACAAGAAAAAGACATAAGTACTGGCTTAATGGTCAGATATCAATAGACAATGAGTGAAAGATTAGAAGAAAGGTTAGGATGGGAAGCTGTAAGAATCGTGATATGTTAAAATGATTTATGGCGAAATAGAGCAAAAGAAAGATAAAAGGGGGACACAGAAGAAAATATTTATGAATTTCTTATTGTGTGTGTATTTGAAGATTTGAAGGAATAATGGAGAGAAAGGAACGAAAAATGGCAAGTGAGAGAATGAGAAAAAGAAGATAAAGGGAGAATGAGAAAAGTGTGAGAGGAGAGTAGAAGCATCATATAATGAGAAAAAGCAAGAGAAAGGGTAAAACAGAGAATAAGAGAGAGAAGATAAAGTGATCAGAGAGAGAATGAGAAAAAATAGAAATGTTAAGAAAGATAAAAGGAAGGCTTAAGAGAGAGAATGAGAGTGAAAAGGAGATGATAAATGAGAAGAAAATAAGAAAAGTAGAAGGGATAAGGTAATGAATGAAAAAAAAAAGAATGGAAAGAAGAATAAAAAAGAGAAGTGGGGAAAGGATAAATGAGAGAATGGGAAAGGGAAGAGGAAGGGATATGAGAAAGAGAAAGGGAAGGAATACAAGAAAATAAGACAGAGAAAGGGAGATAATAAGGGAGTGAATGTGAAAAAGAATAAAAAATATCAAAACTGTGGCACATGAGGACATCAAAAATTGCAATTATATTTAGATCCCTCGGATTGATTGGAAAAGGCTCCGATAGACCCATTGAAGGGATTTGTGGTGGCCCATGCCTTAAAGAAATACAAAAAATTGTACTCACAATTATAGCTCACATGTTACGAAGAGCTTTATTGTAAAATGTGTGTGATTATAGTGTTGTTTCTTGCAAAAAAAGATCAGCGGGAAATGTCATGAAACCATTTACAACCTTAGGTCACTTGTTGGGACCTGGAAGGAAATGTGTATACAACAGAAATCAAAGGAAATAATAATAAAATTAATTGGCATGTTCCCACCAGATGTGTGATTGTTATCGCTGAAGACTGCCAGTTTCTATCCTTTTTTCAGATTTCCAACTCATATCCCAATGTTCTGAACACGGTTCCACGTGCGATCCCAACTTTCACATTCCACGTTTTCCCCAGCTCTCCATTTTACCAATTTCTTACTCTCCTTTCTGTTTATTATGTACTTTGCTAACAAAAAGGCATCTACAAAGTGGCAGGTTCTTTTTTTTTTCTTTTTTCGCAGTTATCGGATTTTCTTTCTAGAACACTGGCGATCAGTTTGGACGCCGAAATCGCAAAGTATTTTGTAATTATTGTTTTCCATGGCATTTTCTGGTTTGTGCCAATTTTGTTTATTTGACTAAACCGCCGTTCTCAGCGTATGACTGTCACGACACAGTTGTTTTTATTTCTTTATTTTTTCTGGACGATTATTATTATTGCTGTTGTTGTTGTTATTATTATTATTAGTAGTAGTAGTAGTAGTAGTGTACTAATCTTGAAACCAAGCATTCGAATTCTTGGCTTTTACCCATCTTGAGAGTAGACAGATAGAGAGAGATAAAGAGAGAGATAAAACAGATTTATTAAAGTTTTATTTATGTTTAACGTTGTTATTTTTATAGATACAAGTATTTAAGCAAATGCTCTGTTTATGATAAACAGTATTAAATAACATTTACCGGCCTGAATTCCGAGAATTTTCATAGAAAATATTCGTTCATAAATTCGAACCTGCATCCTATTTTCGGCCACCATGAACCTTATGGTGAACAAGTAAAAAATATTCGTACATTCATAAATAAACAAATGACGATCATATGTTAAGAAAATGGAATATTTATTTATTATTTTATATATATACAAGTATTTATATTTATGAAAACAGTATTAAATAAAAATAGAAAAAAGCATTTGCTTAATGTATCTATAAAAATAACAACGTTCCATTCGATTGCTACAGGAATTACCATGATTATGTTTTCAAAGATTGTGTTTATAACAGAAACCTTGTCTAAAAAAGGCACGCCAGCGTATGGCAAATGCGGTTCAATTATAGAAATATTTTTCTAAAAATTTCTCGGACATTCAGGCCGGTAAATGTTATTTAATACTGTTTATCATAAACAGAGCATTTGAAATTTGTATCTATAAAAATAACAACGTTAAACATAAATAAAAAATGTTTTAATAAATAAAACCTCGTCCATTTCTTAACATATGACGTCATTTGTTTACATTCGATACGCCACATATGAATGTACGAGATTCATGGAAGATTGTAGTTTATAACAGTAAATTCGACCTTTCTACCATAAGGTTCATGGTGGCCGAGTGGTCAAGGCACGCCAGCGTATGGCGGTTCCGTATAGGATGCAAGTTCGAATCCTGTCTATGAACGAATATTTTCTATGAAAATTTTCGGACATTCAGGCCAGTAAATGTTAACTGTTTATCATAAACAGAGCATTTTAAATACTTGTATCTATAAAATAACAACGTTAAACATAAATAAAAATGATTTAATAAATAAATTGTCGGACCTCGTCCATTTCTTAACATATGAAAATACGCCAGAGCAGTTATGTTTTAAATTCGACCTTGTCTACCATAAGGTTCATGGTGGCCGTGGTCAAAGGCACGCCAGCGTATGGCGGATCCGTATAGGATGC